ATGGCTACAGAGACTGAAAGCAGTCGAATCCTATAACCCCTTTTTCTGCTCATCTGCTCATTCTGCTCTGTCTTGCAAAGGGAAAACTCTACATTCACATGTCACAGCTTTGAGATGATTGCTTCACTTGGCTTGATGATTCTCTGCTTTCCCCGTAGTCATAGTTGCCAGTCTCATCGCAGCCACTGCCGCAGCCGTTCAATGCCACTCGACAGCCTCGCCCTTCTGACTACTCATCCTGACTAGCTCAATCAGCCGGATCCCGTCCCTCGACTGCTCGGGCTTGACGGCAATGTCGGCCTTGCCGCGGACGGCGTCGCGGAGGTTTTCGTAGAAGCCCAGCCAGTGGCCCGGGATTGTCGGATAGCGGCCGACGTGGAGCTTGAAGTCGGGCTCGTAGATCTGGTGCGCGTGGTCGAACGCGGGCTCACCTTTTGTCGTCAGCAGCCCGTACAGGTGCGGTGGCTCCCTGCCGAAATCCGGGTCTGTTGGGGACATGGACGGCGACGAGAGGATCTGTTCTTCTTGGATGCATGTGCCGTGCTATATGCATGTCGCATTCGTGTCAGCTTGGGTTCAGGTTCAGGTTCAGCCCATGTTGGTAACTTATGCTGACGGGGTTGATACAGCAGGTTTTCTTTGATGGGCGGAAAAGGAGTACGGAGGGACAGGGGTAGGAGTGACTTGGGAACCCGTTGATGAGTGGGCAAAAAGAAAGGAGTGGAACATAGGATAGGAGTAGAAAAAAGACGACCAGGCGCGAAACGAACCTTGACAAACGACCCTTTCGTTCCTCTGATGAAGTACTTCAACTGGTCTTTCATCGTCGAGACCACCATCGTCTTCACCGTAACTAGCAGATCCTGCTGCGGCGCATCGTACTGTAGGATGGCCGTGAAACTATCTTCAATCTCGCTCTCGACGCCGCGAAGCACGCGCAGAAATCCCGTCACGGACTTGGGCCGCCCGAAGAGCAGGAGTGCTTGGTCAAAGGTGTGGCTTCCTGCAAAAAGGGTCACGGCAGGTCACACGTTAGAAAAATTGCCTCGTTTCGTTTTGAGTTCGTCCTCTAGGCCGCGCGAGCGGGCAGGGGACTAGGAAGGCTGTGTGATAGAGAGACGGAGAGGAGAAAACACAATACCTAGACCAAATGTCATGCCGTCTCCCGGCGAGTACTCCTTCTTGTTCATGCCTCTCATCCAAAATGGGAAGTCGACGTCGTAGTGGATCTCGCATTCTTTGATGGTTCCAAAGGCGTTTTTGTCGAGCAGGTATCGGAGGGTTAGGAAGTCATTGTCCTACAGAGTCAAAATCATCGGCATCAGGGACAGAATATTCTGCAGATACTCGCTCAGGAGAAGGGAACGGGGGAGCGTCGTCGCCGAGGTGATGGCGATGATCTGATCGACTTACCCATCTTCGGTTTTGGAAGACTGTCAAGATCTTGCCTTTCTCCTTTGCCAGGGAGATGAGATGGTCGGCCTCTTCTGTCGTCCTGGTGAAGGGCTTCTCCACAACAACTATTTCACACGCAGACAAGGTTTAGAAACCTCTCACTTTCAGATAGCTCCAAGAAGAAGGCCTAGAAGATCATACCGTGTTTTCCAGCATTTAAAGCCTTCTCGGCATATTCTGCATGCGTATCCTGTTTGCTGCAAACAATCACGACATCAATGTCCTTGTCGGCAAAGAACTCGTCTGCATTTCGATAGTGCTTGGCGTCAGGATAGTCGACCGTGCAATGTGAACCGGGTTCTGCGCTCTTGGGATCCGTCGGTGCCCCTGTTCGTTGGAAGAAAGCGACGACTTTGAAGTCCGGGCACGCGTTGATGAAGGGTAGATGGAAGCATTTGGCCGAAAAGCCATATCCTATGAGGCCGAGACGAATTGGCTCCATTTGATATCACCCTTACCACTTCAAGTGTGTCGAGATTGTTGTAGTGGATGTGATGGGATTTTCAAAAAGCAGGTCCCAGGATCTGTGTCGGTTACTTCGTTTGCCGTTACCGATATATTTGGTAATAAAGATGCTGTGTTTTAGTCCCTCATTCTTTTTGATGCTGCTCGGCCCATTGTCGCATGATGTTATGAAGTGTATTTCCCTACATGCTCCGGCTAAATTCAGCCAGTAATTCAGCCGCACGGAGATACTCCGTGGGGTGACAAAATGTGGAGGGCCTTCAAGCCACACTCAGCACAGTATAAGTTCTGCATATGACAGAGTTCCCGGTCTCCATGCCGATCCGAGCCCTAGCCGCCAGTGCCTTTACGTCGAGTGGACTCGGGTGGACTCTATGCAGGTCGATCGTGGCTTGGTAGATCTGATGGAACACTGGTGGCCACTCCCAAGGGCGTTATGAAGACGCTCAAAGCTCTGGTATGCAGTTCGTGTGGAGTCTCTTTTACAAGAAGTGACAGCCAAAAGGGCAACGAAGCACGTGGCTGATTCCCATGTCAACTCAGCCGCTACCAAACGGAACAGCCCATATGGTTGAAAGCTCATGTGTTTCGCGCAACAGATTTTAATGGCATCAACCAATATCGAGTCCTATTCCCTTCCAGCAAGATGCTTTCGAGACGCCCATTCCTCACAGAGAGTTCAGGCCTCTTTGTGCGGAATGAAGGGGAATGCCAGATTTGTCGATGAATATGGGTCGTTTGGGCTGTGTCAGTATGGCCATGCTTCCCATTCACCGCGAGGCAGAATCTGGGTGCTTTTAGCAACGGAGAAATTCGAACGGGTATGGATGAACTACCTCGAGTTCCTAGCGGATACCTTGATCTAGTCTGCCCATTTGCCAACATTCGAGTGAGTGACTAGGCCTCGCAGAACTCAGCATGTTTGCCCTCGGATAGTTGTCTCACGAAGACCCATTTCCGTCTTTCGAAATCCTCATACCATTTCCGCCCGCTTTTGAAGCCTGCGGCCGTGGAGACACGGACGGATTGTGCAATCTGATCTCTGATTGGTGGTCGGGTGGTTCGCGTTCATTGCATCGTGGCAGGGGGGGAATAGAACCATATCTCTCCTTGAACGTATGAAATAGCATCTCTTTGATATCAAGCCTCGAAAACTGCTCTATCAGCCAGGGACCATAAAGCAAGGCGAGGAAACGCATATGTGGCGATCAAGTGAGAGCAAAACTGAACATACAGACGCCATAGGATGATTGGATCTACCATAGATAAGATTTCCGTAAAGCGTAGACACTGGAATAACACCGGGTTAAATGGGTGTATTGTCGCAGTACCAGGACATTGCAGAACCCATATTACCAAACCATCAACGTCGACCACGCAGGCTGATTTGCAGGAGACGAGACCGAATTCCAGGAGACATCTACGGTCTTCTTTCGGGGGAATTTGGCGAATGCCGCGGTACCTGCTCATGGTTCGCAAAAGAATCCCTGGTTTGCAGCAAATCTAGGCTATGGCGACATCTGAAGAACGCCTCGACACCCCTGGGTCTAAAAACAGCTCAACAATTTTCGTCGGATGTGATAGGATGCATAGTGGCATGATGTTGGCTTGGTTATGCTGATACATCTGGAGGAAACAATTGGTTAATATGGCATGTGAACAGTAGACACAAGCTTTCTAGAGATCAGAGTCCAAGGGCTTCCACGTAGGTTCTGGTCTGCAGGAGTGAGACGCTGGTTCACCGGGACGTCGGTGATAGGGGCGGATGAAGGGACTGCTTCCCCACGGGTCGAGCTCTCCGCTTGGTAGTGTCGCAGCCACGTAGAGCGAAACCAAAGTACCAAGTCGACCTCTCATCATACACACCGGTCCAAGGCAATTCGAGATGAAGGCGTTCTGGACCGCCGTGTTCGGGTGGTGGCTTGTGCTGGCTATTTCTTGGGAACGCTTGGCTGCTGGTTTCACATGTGGCCACCGGATAGCGGTCCGGTGAATGCCTGGCATAGTCCGGAATTTGAATCCATTCCGCTCTTGGCACTATATCTTGGCATCCCTTGGCACACCACTAAGGATCTCACTCGGGGATCTGGGGTTACATTTCCTCTTTATTTTTTTGATAGACATCAACCGTTATCTCGCTTTGCCATTCTGAATCAGCACATGCTCCACGCATGGCCGCCCGTCTGCCTAGAAGCCAAGGCTGAGCAATTCTGCTTTGGGTTCTTGTTTCCAATACCATGTGTAGCCTTCCTCTCGACCGATCATCTGACATTGCATGTAGTTTCCACCAAAAAATACAGGTTGGACGAACCCATGGTTGTCCCAGGGGCTATCTATCCGCGCGGCGGCATTTCCGCACCAGATACTTGGTGTTACCAACTCAGGGGCTTGTAGCATCTGTGTTACTCCCGCTACAGCCCCTGGTTCGCTACGGGAGATCTTCTTGTCCATCCCTCCGAACCCAACCTGGTTTTGTCGAACAATCCCAGTGTGCCAAGGATAACACACCATTCGGCAGTACCTGGCGGCATCTTCGATACGAGAGATGATCCTATAACGTCGCTCCTTCCATCCTTCTCCCGTTGCACATGTAGATCCCGCTATGCCGTCATTCGGATCCGACAACAACGACTTTGGACACACATGCCTGGTCTGCCTAGAAATTCTTCCTGAATCTCCCTTTGTCCGGACAACGAAATCAACAAAGCACCAAATCCTGGTCAAAAACGTTGAGAATCGATTCCTCCCCCTTCCGTCGCCAAAACGGATGGATTCACTGAGAGGCCGTGAGTGGATCTGGGGTGAGAGCCTGGAGGAATGCGGAGCAGGACTTTGTTACATGGGGAAGTGGACTGCTGCCCTCGCTCGTACTCTCCAGCTTGCATTGCAAATCTATATATTGTCCGCTCTGACCCAGATTACCTGCTCAACTTCCTGCGTGGCTTCCTGTCCTTTTGTGTTCTCTGACAGTCTCCTGAGACGGTTTCTACCCGCGGCTGTTGTTACACAGACCCGGCCGGTTGGTAAAATTCCTTATTAACACACTGCAAATCTCCTAGTATCCCTAGCAAAAGAACAAGATGGGCCCCACAGAGGTTGAGATCTCCATCGAGAGCCCTGACAGCAAAGCTGTCGAAACGAAGATTGAGATGCTGGAATCAGCATCTTCGAGCTCCCAAGACTTGGGCTTCGACGTGAAAGCTACGAAGAAGCTGATTAGGAAGATTGATTGGACACTTCTCCCATTTCTGGCACTTCTTTATCTTCTCAGCTTCCTCGATCGCACCAATATTGGGAACGCCCGACTTGCTGGCCTAGAGAAGGATCTTGGAATGTCAGGCTTGGACTACAATGTCTGTTCAATTTCTCCCTCTGCAAACGTATCTGTCACTTACGATTGTTCAGGTGGCTCTTGCAATCTTCTTTCCATTTTACGTCCTCGTCGAGCCACTGTCCAATCTCATGATGAAGCGCACACGACCTTCGATTTGGATTCCTTCTATCATGGTTACATGGGCAGTCTGCACGACTCTCATGGGTCTTGTTCAAAGCTTTGCAGGCCTTCTTGTTGCTCGGGCTGCTTTGGGCATTGCGGAAGGAGGCTTATTTCCTGGAGTGACATTTTACATCACCATGTGGTATAAGCGCCATGAATGTGGTCTGAGAATGGTGAGTACGGCAGCTTCGTTACTCGAAGTCTACTCCATTGTGCCCTGTTCTTACAAATTTAATAGGCTATCTTTTTCTCTGCAGCTACGGCCGCTGGGGCTTTTGGCGGTCTCCTGGCCCGTGGAATCGTCGAAATGGATGGGGTTGGTGGCAAATCTGGGTATGTGTAATCCGCGACGCGTGTTGTGCTATGTAGATGACTGACCAGAGTGCAGATGGTCGTGGCTCTTCATTCTCGAAGGCCTGTTGACATTTGCCATTGGTGAGTAGCGGCTGGTGGAAGATTGTGGGAAAGTACGTGTGCTAAAGGGTTTGTCATCAGCCATTATTGCATTCTGGACCATGAACGATTATCCTTCCACTGCGAAGTTCCTCACTCCGGAGGAAAAACACGAAGTGACTCGACGCCTGGAACGAGACCGAAGCTCTCTCGCCGATGAGTTCGACATGAAATATTGCTGGGACGCACTTAAGGACTGGAAAATCTGGGTTCATATGTTCATCACTATTGGGTAAGCCACTTATTGCGGCCGATCTCCCCTTACTAACGGTGTCTAGTATCTACACGCCTTTGTATTCTGTCTCCCTCTTCTTGCCAACAATCGTCAAGACTTTGGGCTACACAAACGAGACAGCTCAGCTCATGACAGTGCCGCCCTATATCGTGGCCTGCTTCTGCTGTATCACCGGAGGCTATGCCGCTGACAAGCTCAAGACCCGTGGACTCTTCATGATAGGATTTAACCTCTCAGCAATTCTTGGGCTTATCTTACTCATTTCATCCCAGAACCCTCATGTCAAATATGCTGGGTGCTTCTTCTTCGTCGCGGGAATTTATCCCAATGTTCCCCAAGGTGTTGCTTGGAATGGCAATAATATCGGTGGCTCCGTTAAGAGGGCAGTGGGTATTGCAATGCATGTTGGTTTTGGTAAGGCTGCCCCTTCCCGGTCGGAAGACCTATATGCCTCGCAAGCTGGACTCGCCTCTGACGGTAACTATTACTAGGCAACCTCGGTGGCGCTGTTTCTGGATTCATTTACCTTAGTTCCGATTCTCCCAAGTTCACAAAGGGCCACGCCATCTTGATCGGCCTGCTCACCATGAGCACGTGCCTGCAGGTCTTCATGACCACCTATCTTCGGCGCGAAAACGCCCGTCGAAATCGCGAGTATAAATCGCCAGACCAATACACCGACCAGGACAAGGCCGCGGAGAGGGCAAAGGGCGATAACGCAACTTTCTTCCGCTACACCGTTTGAGTGATTGAGCTCAGGTCGACCATTTGGGGTTGAAATCCGATTCCAAACGCATCCAAAGGAATTGCAGGCTTTAGACCGAGGGATAGACGGCAAGATATGTTTACAGAGGCTAAGCGTCGCTATATAAAATATACATAGCAACAGAGCATCAAACAATACAGTTTGAACACGGTGGTTATACTGCTGGAAATGCATCCGTTAGAGCTGCCCGTCATCCAGTCGGCCTCTCAAGAGACAAGAACACTGCATTCGTGACAGTGGAGGCACTTCCTCTGATACGAGAGGTTTAATCTAGCTAAATTTGTATTCCTATCATCAATTGCAATGGGGAAAATCTGAAATCCGAAATCTGGAATTGCCCCCATTTGCTCATAATCACGTTACTGCCTCCTCCGGACCTCGGGAGTCTCGTGTTGCAAGCCATCCAGCCTTGCTCAGCCTTGCTCAGCCTCGCCCAGCCTCGTCGGTGATGTGCCGAACTGGATCATCCAATCATATGTCTGCTGTAGCAATTTGGAGATTTCTTCCTCCAACATCGGTGCTGCTTTTCCACTCTACCGGGTTCGCTACAAATACTCTGTGCTCCGTCCATCTAGATCATTTCGCGCCTATCGCCTCTCATATACCCTCCGTTCCCCCTAGTGAATGCTTTTTGAGGTGGAAGATATTTGAGGAAGATGTTAGCCAGCTAATCGTTCTGTGCGCCATTTATTTTTTTGTCGGCGCAGGATGGTCGGTACTCTTTGAAGCTTGTCTTCGCAACAAAGCGGACTAACTCTGCGACAGTTTTCTTTGCGTTTGACCAGGACTGGCACCTCGCGGGCCATCTGTCTGCCCATCCCAGCGCGATTAACGCAGAGTCGGAGCTTTCGTACAACGGCGCGACGCTGCCAGGATGTATTCCATGCACAGCTCGAGGATTCCAACGCAGCCGCCATCCTCTTGTCACTGAAGACCTCCTCAAGAGTGCCCCAGACGCTCACAGAAAAGATCGTCCAGCAATATGCTGTGGGCTTGCCCAGAGACAAATTTGTGAAGTCTGGCGACTATGTTACGATCGCACCCCACCATTGCATGACCCACGATAATTCGTGGCCCGTCGCGTTGAAGTTCATGTCGATAGGAGCTTCAAAGCTGAAGAATCCGAAGCAGGTTGTGATGACGCTGGATCACGATGTGCAAAACAAGTCGGAGAAGAATCTGACAAAGTACCGCCAAATTGAAGAGTTTGCCAAAAAGCAAGGCGTCGACTTCTACCCTGCTGGCCGGGGCATAGGACATCAGATCATGGTGGAGGAAGGCTACGCGTGGCCAGGGACGTTGGTCGTTGCAAGTGACAGTCACACGAATATGTATGGCGGCATAGGTTGCCTTGGTACCCCTGTAGTGCGGACGGATGCCGCCAGTATTTGGGCTACTGGACGTACTTGGTGGCAGATCCCTCCGGTGGCAAAGGTCACTTTTACTGGCGTCTTACCCAAGGGCGTCACTGGCAAAGATGTGATTGTTGCTCTATGTGGGTTGTTTGACAAAGATGATGTTCTCAATCATGCAATAGAGTTTGCAGGATCGGAGGAAACTCTTCGAAGTCTACCCATTGATGCTCGCTTGACGATCGCGAATATGACCACGGAATGGGGTGCCTTGTCTGGACTGTTCCCTATGGATCCCTTGCTACAAGGCTGGCTACGCTCAAAGGCCACCATGTCCGCGCTGGATGCATCCGAAGGCAGGGGCGTAAATGAACGATTTTCGCATGCAAGACTGGATGAACTCTTCGGCAACCAGCTCGCTGCGGACAGAGACGCTCAGTACGCAAAGTACCTGTACCTGGACCTCAGCACACTTGCGCCCTATGTGTCTGGACCTAACTCCGTCAAGGTTGCAACACCATTGAAGGAGCTGGAGGATCAAAATATCAAAGTCGACAAGGCGTATTTGGTATCTTGCACGAATTCGCGCGCTTCCGATCTCGCTGCAGCGGCAAAGGTATTCAAGGCCGAAGCAGCAAAGAATGACGGGAAAGTCCCAAGAGTTGCCGAAGGCGTGAAATTTTACATCGCTGCAGCTTCGCTGCCTGAGCAGCAAATAGCCGAAGACGCCGGCGATTGGCAGACTCTCATTGATGCGGGTGCCGTCACCCTTCCAGCAGGGTGTGGACCTTGTATTGGGTTGGGAACAGGCCTCCTAGAACCTGGCGAAGTCGGTATCAGTGCCACGAATAGAAACTTCAAAGGTCGCATGGGCAGCACCGAAGCAAAGGCATACCTCGCAAGCCCCGAAGTCGTTGCCGCCAGTGCTCTTAGCGGGAAGATCAGTGGTCCTGGTTGGTACGAGAGGCCCCAAGGGTGGTCTGGAGTCATCTGTGGTGAGGGCGATGGCGTCAAAGAAGAGGATCGAATGATCACTGCGGATGAAGCATTCCAGAAGATTATCAACCAGCTGGACAGCATGATCGAATCCGCTGAGGAGACATTCGGGGAGGGCAAATCGGCGGAAGCCACGTCAGGCCCAACTGAAGTCTATCCTGGATTCCCTGAGAAAGTGGAAGGAGAGATTGTTTTCTGTGATGCAGACAACATCAACACCGACGGCATCTATCCCGGAAAATACACATATCAAGACAATGTGCCCGTTGAGAAGATGGCCGAGGTATGTATGGAGAATTATGACCCTAAGTTCTCCTCGATTGCAAGACCAGGAGACATTTTGGTGTCAGGGTTCAACTTCGGATGCGGTAGCTCACGCGAACAAGCAGCGACCTCAATCTTAGCCAGAAAGATTCCTTTGGTGGTTGCCGGTTCTTTTGGGAACATCTTCTCGCGAAACAGTATCAACAATGGCTTGATGGGTCTTGAGGTGCCAAAGCTCATCCGACGACTCCGTGAAACATTCTCGGACTTGAACACGCCCCGGCCGTCCACTCAAGTTACAGAGCCAATGGGCAATAAAGAAGAGCAGCAGAGTCTCGACTCACCTCCGCCGGCTACGACACAGCCCCGAGAAAAGCAATTGTCGCGTCGCACCGGATGGACGTTGGTCTGGGATGTGAAAAAATCCCAGATCGAAGTAACGGAGGGTGCCAACGGTAAGAGATGGACGGAAAAGGTTGGAGAGCTGCCCCCGAATGTGCAAGAGATTATCGCCAAAGGCGGTCTGGAAAAATGGGTGCAGAAGGAAATTGCTGCATGAAGAACATATCCGGTCAGCCCGATAGATAAGGTAATACAGAGATTGCACATGCAGTGGAATCAGCTTCATCAGCCCTGGATGTGCAGAAATCGCCGCATGCAAGATGAATATACTTGGTACACTCATGTCGGCGCAACAGTAGAAACGGATGCAGTGATGGCTGCCGTGTCGCCAGCTGGCCGCACTTTACCAACCAGACAATCTGGAACAACATACTTCCGTCTGCACTTTAGCCACATTACAGCGTCGAACGTCTACAGTAGTAGCGGGAGACTGCTGGTGAGAGTGACCCCGATAGCCGCGACGGAATGATGGCGTGGTCCACTGGTTGACGAATGTGAGACATTATGACTGCACCAGGGGGACTAGTCGTGGACTGTAAGTAGACATCGTGGTTCCTCGTGCGAGGCGAATACATCATCACGACCATCACAAGCTGAGGTCTCGGCAGTCGGTGTACCAGCTCGCTCATAGTGAGAAGGACAGAGGGGGTAAGGAAAAGGCAAAAAGGGGAAGGGGACCGAATAGGGAATTACTAGCGAGCGGCTTGGCATGAAAAAGCTTAATTTCACGAACCGCGAGCGCGTCCACGTGACCAAACCCCCACAGGCACCCACTTTCCGAGGGGCTTCTTGGGGCTGTGCTGTTTAACTGTTACAACATGCGCAAGCCTGCCCACGAATGACACTCGCACAAACAATCCGAAACATCACCTCAGACTCGCTGCTGGCCACTCGCGGTCGCGGCTGATGCTCCAAAATAGCCCCGTGCCATTCCAGAAACATGCTAAGCGCGTGCTACTTTTGAATCCTCGGGTCATCTGCGCCCTACTTGGGAGGCGTCGGTCAACTCACCGTGGCTCAACACCTTTTTCCATCGCATCGCATTGACACTGTTGCCTTTTGCACGCTGACTGAAACGGTGTACAGGTACATTCGGAAACAGGACCTCAACCCCACGATACTACGGTGCCAAAATCTGCCCAAAAGTATCTCCCACAATATCGCTCACTCCTTGCCCAGGGCATTTGCCGTGTGCCAGACGGCCTTTGTGCCCCTCTCAGCTTCAAACAATCCACACCCCTGAACCTCTTGCGCCAGCCAGCCGAGGGACGGGGCCTCGCAGTTGGCGCGACACAAACCACCTCAGATCTCACCCCCTGCACTCGACTATATTATCACTGCCATTACCCTCTAACACCATGGCGACTCATTTGCACAGCACAGAAAAAGAGCCTTTGCTCGCCGCTCATTCCAGGCGCCCTCGTCAGGGAGGTGTCCAATCTTCTCACATTCGTTCAGAGAAGCCCTCGATTCCTTCTTTTCCACATCCTACTTCTTCAGATTTACCTCTCAAAGAAAGAGACGGTCGTTTCTTCCCACTTTCATTGCAAACTCAGATTGTACTCGGCATCATGGTGGCCATTCCTACGTATCTCCTGGCCTCGTCGGCCGTGACCAGCCTGGGGCCGTTGACTCCTCGAAACTCTGTTATACGATCACCGGAGCCATTGCCACAGTCTTCGTCGACAAGTCTAACGTCAGATCCCGGTTCGAGTCCTTTCGCTTCCATAATAGGACCCCATATATCATCCAATTTCCCCGATCCTGCCGTTATTCATGTTGATGGCGTGTCGTATGCTTTTGCGACCAATAATCGAGCCCTCGGACCGGACCTGGTCCATGTTCAAGTGGCCACTTCGACCGATAACCAGACGTGGACACTACTGGACCATCATGACGCTCTACCCTCTCTAGGGGCATGGGAGACAGGCGCCGGTGTCTGGGCGCCAGATGTGGTCCAGCTGGTGAGTAGCACGGAGGGTCCTCTTCAGACCCCATGACTAATTCTCGCGCCAGGACGATGGTTCATTTGTTCTCTACTACGCCGATAATGTTGTGTGGTCTCCTGCACATCATTGTGTGGGTGCGGCCACTTCTAAGGATGTTCTGGGACCTTATGTCCCGCTTGACACTCCTTTCGCGTGCCCAGACGTCAATGCCCTCGGTGGAGCTATTGATCCCGACGGCTTCCTCGACGAATCCACCAATAAACGCTATGTCGTTTACAAAGTCGACGGGAATTCTATTGGACACGGCGGCTCCTGCGGCAACACTGTTGCACCCATCGTACCGACCCCCCTCATGCTCCAGGAAGTCGGCCCCGACGGCACCACTCTAATTGGGGATGCGATTGAGCTTTTAGATCGCGACGAATTTGACGGACCATTGATCGAGGCACCATCTCTCCATCGATCCGACGAAGGAATCTACTTCCTGTTCTTCAGCAGCAATTGCTTTACGACGCCCAAATACGATGTCTCGTACGCCACCGCGACAAATATCTGGGGGCCTTACACCAAATCAAGCCGCCCCTTGCTCGTCACCAGTGACGCCGACCTCACTGGACCAGGCGGTATGGACATCATCAAGGGCGGCGAACTGATTGTGTTTCATGGTCATATGACCATCAACAACGACCCTACAATCAAGAAGCAGGCTGAAACAATTGCAGCCTCGACGAACACCCCGATCAGTAAGGTGAACCTGCCTTTAATCAGAGGTATGTGGTCTGGCACCGCAACCTTTCAAGGCACGGACGTCCTGCTGTCGTGATTGCCCTCCAGCTCTTTGCTGGGCTATAGCCCTGGGCTATACTTCATCTCCTCTGTCATTTTCTTGCAGCGTTCAAGCGAGTCTGTCTTTTTCGCATCTCTAGAGCAGATACCCTTTGAGGCGGCATTTTGATCTATGTTTGAAGCAAAAATATCAGACTACCAGTCGATCATGAGGAATGAGATCAAGATCAGAGCATAGAGAGTCAGCTCTGTGTGTATCATTAGTTGACATTGCAAACATTATTGTTCGAGAAGATCATATTTCGAGCCCTAAAGTTCTCTTGTCGTGTTATGACCAAATGGCCAGTCGCCCTGGTCTCGAATCTAGACTCAGACCCAATAACGAGGCGGTCTGCGCTATTCCCTGCGATTGTATCGATCAAGAGAGTCCGTATGACTTTGCATTGCACGGTACCTACATACGCGGGTGGTGGAGGCCAGGAAACACGGACCAAAGAGGCAGGTTTGCCGGCTTCAATTCAAAGCTGGCTCGCAATTTTCGAACATTTTCAACAATCTGCTCCCACAATCAACAGCAAAGCCACGGTCCTACGGCGTTTTTCTTTGTAAGAGTATCGCGCTTTGGTTTTCCCAATGGTCTCTTCAGCAGTTCGATAGTCCACTTCACCCTCGCAACTCACAACAAACATGCCTCCCCGGGTATCTCCCTCCGCAGTCTCTCTCCCTTTACCTACGACACCTACGATCCAAACACACTGTAAATCATGCTTTCAGCGTGCCTTATCTTCCACCCCTTCGCTGTCGCAGACTAAACTCCGCGAGCAATTCTGGCTCTGGCTTCGCGGGCCTGGAGAGAACTTCCGCCACCCCCTTCCAGGGTCGACAAACTACCTATCCGCGTATGACAAACGAGGAAACCTCATTCGCGGTAAAGGCCAGGAGACGTCAGGGGAGTCGGCGAAAGAAAAGAGCTCTGAAGATGCCATGACGCCGGATGAAGAAGCTCTGGAAGCCGCCGCCACGGAACATGAACAGGAGTATAAGCTCCCGAAAGAAACACTGGACGATCTACGGCCGTTTCCCTGGAACAAGCATTTTGTGAGTCAGAGTATTCTGTCAGAGGATCTCAGAAATGAGATCTGGGACAGAGTGCAACGGCAGGGGAAGTCGGTGAGGCAAGTTTCGATTGAGATGGGCGTGGATATGAGGAGGGTGGCTGCTGTGGTGAGACTAGTAGAGGTGGAGAGGAGGATGAGGAGAGAGGTAAGCATGTTATTCGTCGTGACTTATATTTCGCAATGACCTTCCTGTGATGAACAACCAAATCGATTAGTCTTCCAGACTTCCAAGCATGGTGATTTACAAAACATACAAATTACAACTCTCTGAACCCGGAAAGGGAAACACACCTCAATGGCTCTTCTTTGCTATTTCCAGGACAAAAGCTGACATTGCATCTCTCGTTTCTTTCCAGGGCAAACCCCTCGCTCTTCCCTACGCTCGCGCCATCCACGGCATGGTCCCTCTCACCACCCTCAACCCAAAGACGCGCTTAGCCAGCGAACCTCACGAATCCATCAATGATCTAGAACAGCACCCGCTAACATTTCCACAAATTTTCTACCCGACATCCGAATCACGCGCGTTCAACCGTACCGATGCAGGACGGGTATTCAGTGGCGCACCGCGACTTTCCGACGAGCAAGAGAGTGCCATAAACGAGGGAGTCTACGAAGCGTGGCGGGACTCTAAACCCGAAATCATCGGCAAGCCTGGTCACAGACGCGAGGTATTGAAGCCAGCGGACTCACGCATTCCCCACCCGCATTTAATCGCCTTTGAAAAAGACAAACTGAACCGCTCACTCACACCGCTCGAGAGACTTGCGCGCCATCGCGAACGCTTAGAGAAAGACGAAGAGAGACAGCAAGCTCTTAAGAACAAGTTGCAGCAGGAGGAGGAAAGCAAGAAAACGAGGATCGATGCGGGAAGATGGCAGTTTGTGGTGACGGAGGTGCAGAGTACGAGACAAGGCATCGGGTTAAATGGACGAGGATCCGGGAAGGGAGCGGTGGGCCAGAGGTATGGTGTGCCCAGTCAGGAGAGAAAGAAAGGCCAGGTCAAGATTCCTACCAAAGTGGAGGTCTAAGTCTGAATGAATGAAAGAAAGCAGAATTCGCCGAGAGGACCAGTTCCAGAGCCAGTTCGTGACTCTTTCCGAGCTGTTACGGAGAAATCAGAGAAGCCACGTTGGGGTGCCGTGAGAGAAGTGGTGAATGCTGGAATGCGAGCCTGTCATCCCCATCAAGGTCGACATTGACGGGAAGATTGTTGCGCTGCGATGCATTGTGTCTTGCGCGTCGCGTTGTGTCGAGGCTCCTCGCAACGATCCTTTGGCCCCCTTCCCACCGGTCTCTGTGGACGTATGTGTATGTGTATATGTATACATATGTTTCGCATGACGGTAGGCATTAGCTGAGCCTTTCGGTTGTCATATTCTGATGCGTCAGGTTCTTGTGGTCGCCACACCCTCTCCCCCTTCCCTTCGAGATACGCTGCCCTGTGCTATACCGTGTCCTGCTGCGCTACTCAGGTGCTTTTTTGATCATGGTCAGTCGCCAGGACCGAGGGCGGGAGGCAGGTACGTGTATATATATCTACACACACCTAGGTCTGTAAATAAGTGTATCATATACGGATTTATTTATTTACAGTGTACGGAGTACGGAGTATAGAGTACATATCGTGTCAGTGTCAATCACCCATACATCAAGTATACTTCACGGCTTGTATCATGTGCCCGAAATGGAATGCAATGGAATATGAATGCTCGATTGAATGCTCGATGGAACGCTCGACACTCGAAACTGGACATTCGACACCCTTTAATTCAATACCTCAGACCCAACACTTGAACGCGAACTCGAACACGATACGCGATACTCGACTTGAGGAAAAGAGATGAGGCGGACCCGGGTATCTTGCAGGGCATCTAGATTCTAAAATAGATTACAACGTAAGTGTTATTTTGTTCATAACGTCTTATTACATTTGATTAGGACATGCATGCATCCATGTGTCCAAGCTATCGATGGATGGATGGACGGATGGATGTAGGCCGAAAACTCTACTTGTGAGTCAAAGCATCGCCATCATCACCACCATCGCCGCTTGCAGTCTGGTTCATTAAAAAGAACCACGTCACGCCTGCGTTCTCGTCGGTGTGTAGGGCTCGTTGGATCGAGCAGGGGGAAAAAAAAAGGACAAGACGACGCAACGCAGACGACATGCCCATTTCGATCGTGCCGCCGTGTCTGCCTGGGGAATGCATATCTTGCCTCCTTTCCTGGAGAGGCGTGGCATGTTCTGCCATGTTGATGCGAAATCCGCCTTACGGAGGAAGCCCCTGATCTTCACAAATCTGGCGGTTCGCTCTCTTAGGTCGCGGTGTATACGTATGAGGTCTGATTCTCTCTGGAGCCGTGGGAAATACAGTGCTCCATGAAACGCAGAACTGTCATTGTCAAGGTCGTGAATCTCGTCGACATCCATCATTCTGTGCGAAGCTTGCTCGCAAGAGTTTCGATGCGTCCGGCTGGGTCGTTATTTGCACCGTCCTTTTCTCGCGCATCATTGCAAGAAACAGGTCTTTTGGCTTTGAAGTTTGCTCCATTCAGCGCGTCGAGGGGAGAAGAAGACTAGCTTCTTCGGCTTCCACAGCATCTGGATCTCAGATCCGACCGCCCCTTTTCACACTCGCTGAAATCTGCCTGTGTTATACCTCATCAAAATCCATCTTCTCGTTCATTGTCCCTGATCTCGAGCCCCGACTACTCGGCTTCGCAAGCAGCTTCTTCTTGGTGAGCTTCCCGCAAAAAGCCGCTTTGATGCTCGGGAGGGGATCCCGCGCTTCTGGCAACACCAGCAACAAAAACACGATCGCCACGCCAGCAGTCGCGGGCAAGAGCCCATAGAAATAATGTGCCCCAGGAGCAAAATCGTGCGGTAAGGTGAATATCGCGCATGCCAGCGCAAAGGGGGCGTAGATGAGGGCAATGATGGTAAGGTAACGTGAGTAGTCTGCTTGGCGTTGGGAATCGGCCTCTATTGAGCGGAGAGAGGAAGTATCTTGGCATTGCGAGACCGCGAGGATGTGCTGCATTTGAGAGTCGCATTCCGCTCTGTAGTGGTGTAGGTCGATCAAAAGACTGCGGTAGTCCTCATTCAATTCCGAGTCGGACGAGAGGTAGGTTTTTATCCGCGTCAGAATGGGCTTGTACCTGCTGAGCATCGAGTCGAGGAAAATGACTTTGTCGAGGATCCTCTTTGTCTTTGTTGGATCGACCGTGAGCGCGGTAGAAATGAGTTGGCTTTCCAATGTGGAACGAATGTAGTCGAAGAAATTTGTGCACTCGCTGGCTGCGATTTGAAATGCCGGGCGCATGACGTTGATCATGTTTTTCTCCGCTGGATTGAAAAGGCCGTCTCGAGCCATAATTTGCCAGTGCCGGCAGAGATCGTCGAACGGGTTGGGACACATTGGCCTAGCTCCGCATAAACGATAGTCGTGATCGTTCCGGTTTAAAGGTGGCTTTTGTTCAAGGAAATCAAGGTATCCTCCTTGGTAGCCGGTGACCTCAAGTCGTTGGCTGGGAGAGTACACCCCATAGGGTTCTGCTCCAAGTGTGAAGAAGGAAATTGGCGGGTCGACAAGCACCACACCTGAAAAAAAAATCCTTAGCACCCTTCTCACATTTCTAAATGATACACAGGAACCTGTTTGCACAACAGATAGTTGGGGGTAGGACTTACATATCCACGGGTCGAGAGTCTTCTTCATGTAAAACGAAATCTTTCGACGGGCCACAGCAACTTTCTGTTTCCCATGTTTCGAACATACTTCCACTCGTCTGTGATAGTTTCCCTTGCAGTAAAGCTTCTCAATGTCGACGTCCTTCCCACAATTTGTGGTCATGAATGTACAAGGATATTCAATCGTAAAGAAGTTCTTCTGGTGCCGCAGATTTTGTGACGCTAGTGGAGACCCTGTATGGCCGTCTCCAGCACCACCGGGCGCGGAGTCAATAATATGTGAAGCAAAAAATGCAGGCTCTATATTGAGAAGACTGCCAAGGGTGTCAACCATCTCCGGGTTGATATTGTTCACCATGATGATTCGCCCTTGGGCGCTGCCCCCGCGTCCTTGGGAACCAGAAGCCGGCGATGTAGGTGGCGTTTCTGGAGATCTCCTCGTCCATTCCTTTAACAAGACTCTCAGTTTCGAAGTGTCCGTGAGGTCTGACGTTCTGAAACTGGACGTTCCAAATTCTAGGAGGATGGCTGTTGCCCGTTGAGGTCGTTGCATTGTCGGCATTCGGCTAGCTTCGAGACCCCATTGGAGAAACTCGTCGAGACCAGCAAGATTATGAAATCCATGGCTCCGGAGAAAGCACACATAGTCCGTGAACGTCCAGCGATTTGGATCTGGTGGTGCCATAGCACAGGTGGTACAACCTCGAGCCTGACGGTCAGAAGTCATCACATTTGAGAGAAGAGTCGCTTTCCCTGTGAGCAAAGGGAAGAATAAGTATGAAGAAGAGAGTGGTTCGCTGGAAAGTCGATTTGACGGGCGAGACAAAAAACCCCAGAAGGAGTTATTCGAAGTGCAGATACCGGCTGGCCCGGTTGTAGCGTGCGGACGGGATTCACAAAACAGGTTCCAAGATGGATAGTAGCATAAGGGTGGAGAAATATAGACGGCTGGGAGGCACCTCGAGCATCGAAAACGGGTGATTGGTTAGCCTTAACAGGGATTCCCTTTGTCGTCCATGGTCGCTAGAACCACCTCAGCCGACCGTGGCTAACGTTTGCATAACTATTGAAAGATGGTTTTGTTCTGAGCATCGCGTGGTGAGATACATCGAGTCGATGGGTTGATCGCGACCGTCTGCAGCTCGACGGTCTCCGCCACGATCGCTTTGACTATCCTAAGTGAGGCTCTAGGTCGTTCATACTGGCCATGGCAGCAGGGTTCGGATGAGCTTTACACATGCCCTGACGTGCAGTAGGCAGAGCCATTGACCGGATGGGCTGCGTCAAAAAGAACCGGTCGTCACTGGCGAAGCAAGGTCGAGAGGATCTTTCCTGCCACCTGAACGGAAAGGGCGATACGAACCTGGCTTAAGTGGAGGGTAATTGCATTGAAGGAACAAATCATGGTGGTGAGAAAAGACAAGAGGTGGAGTAATGGATGGTGTGAGAAGCTTGTTGGGTGGTCCGAACTCCCAGCCACCCAAGACACCAAGACATATGCTCTGAGACAGTCATGCGCCATGCTGCAGGGATCGAATGATCGAAAGGTTCACAATGTTACCTGCTGGAGTAAATAATGGCCTCGCGTTGTCTAGGGCGGGGTTTGGTGAGTTGTTAGCAGTCAAGAATACGGGCAGCTGAAGCTGAAAGCCGAAAGGCGAGAAGTGGTGGGTGGCACGGGCGCGTTGCGCCGCCGAGCCGCCAAGTCTTGTTTGTCGTGTTTGCTCTGACCTCGTATGTGATGTTTGTCTTGTTTGTTTAGTTTGCCCTAAGGCTGCGCCCCGACACTATCCTCCCTGTTGTCTACCACCAACACGACAGAAATCAAAGTCACCTCCGATCAGGAACTCCCTGAAGATGGCAAATGACGTCCAATATCCAGAAGTGGCAGCCCGTGGCACGCTCGCTCTCCTAGAAACCCGTCTCCATCGATTGGAGTTCCTCCTCAGCGGCGCCAGTAACGATGATGGTATTCCACCTCCAACCGCAACAACATCTTCTGGCAGCGAGACATTGTGGGCCAGGTTAGACGCTCTCGATGCCGCACTTGCTAAGCTAAGAAGGCTCACGGGTACACCTGGGTCAGTTGTACGGGATATTGAGCAGCTCTGTAGGTGAGGGAATGCAACGCTGGAATCTCTGCTGATCATGCCCCAAGCATCAACGCATCCTGATCTATTTGCCGGGACGGCTACTACAATACCCAAGTCTGAGGACACGAGTACGCTTGCCTCGATTGTCCTCGCTCATGCCACATTATATCCCGAGACCGCATCCAGATTGTCCTCGTTACAAACATTGCAAGTCCCGCCCGCAGATCAGAGTTCGAAACTGTTG